TTTGAGTAGTTTTTAATATTGCCTCCTCAAATTCTCGAAATGTCCTGGTTGGGATCACACATTAAATGATCATTCTAGTCAAAGAGGAGTTGACGATATTTTGAAAATGTCACTGATGTGACAATATCAAAGCAAAAGGGAATGGAGGCCATTTGGAATAACCAAGGCAAAATGCTAGATTAATTTTGGAAAAAACATTTTAATTTATTTGAATACAGTGACCTATGGTGATCTGACCTATTCAGGCATTTATAGTGTCTGGAGACAAAGACCTTACCAATGTGTCTGATTTTTGACAGTGAATAGAAAGGTTCACTTTTAGAAAGCCACAGCATGAAAGGGGAACTATGGAGAGCAGATGTACCAATGTAGTCATCAGGTATCAAGAAAGATAAATTGTAGGAGCTACCAGGGCTAGCAGGGCTCTTCTCCATAATTTCTGCCATAATATTCCCAACACTTCTTCCCGAGGAAAGAACCTCACAGCCAAGGGGAGAATAAGGTCTTGCTCTGTCAATCAGGGGACATTTTAATGAGTGCCTTTTCTGTAGCATGCCTTTGGAGATTCTAACAGATTTCTTTCCTCTGAGGAGCAATTTTTTGGGGAATAAGACATGGATACAGGATAATATATCTAATAAATAGCTTTTTTTTTTTTTAAATGTTTGCCCCACAGTAATAGGAAGTTGGAGTGCAAACTGCTGTAGGTTGTGGGGCAAAATATGTTGTGAAAGAAGACATGGAGATGGTTAAGACATTAAGCTGGATTTTGACAGCTGGGTTTTAAATGGATAAACAGGTAGGTAGAAAAGAGGAGTTGAAGACACATGAAGAATTTATTAGCAGAGATTTTAAGCATTGTGAATATCTGGAAACTTAACTGGATCAGTCTGGAAGGAATATTAATGTAGATGATGGGTGCAGAATAAAATCAGAAAAGTGTAAATAATGGAGGCAGGAAAACTGGGAAAGAATTAGTTATAACCCATCCAGATGATACATAATAAGAATCTGAGTCTAAACCAGTGGCAGTGAGAATACAAAAGATAGTATGATGGTGAGAAAGGATTGCAGACTTGGATGGGCACGCAGAGGAAGAAGAACACTCAGAGATTAGGTTTCAAGTGGGATAAACCTGAGAATGAACTGTGCCCATCACAGAGGAAAGTAGACTTTTTGGATTGTGGCAGTGAGGATCAAGGAGGAATACAAGGAGGCAGAGATGACAGCAGGTCAATAGATGAGAATATCCACCAGGAGAGTCATATTTACAAGTAATGTCACTCTTCCTATATTCCTCAATGCCCTCAACTCTCAATGCCTTCCTCTTCAGAAAAAAGAGAACTCAACTTTTCATTCCTGGTAGAACTCTGTGCTAACTCTCATTACCTAAAGATTCAATAATTCGACAAACATTTTCAAGTGCCTCTTTTGTGTCACTCTACCACTGGAAAGATGAACACGATACATTCCTTGTCTTTACTAAGCTCACAGTCCACAGTATAAGACCAACACGTAAGTGGAATTGACAGGATGGTATCTGGGTATAGCGATTAAGGTGGGTTGTTTTCCACCTTGCCCTTTCTGCTATTGTTTCTTGTTCATAGCAAGACAGCAACAAGGGCAAGGATGATATAGCAGAGAAGAAAAAGCAAACCTTTAAGTTCCAAAATAGATTCTTAAAAATTTAAGAGTCCACAGCTTAGAGGATCCTCAGCCTTTTGGGTACCAAAATCAAACTTTACACTAAAAACAACACATGATAATGTGAGAGCCAGTTCCATTGGCCTAATAAAGAAGCGTTTTACTGCATTGGGGTAAAGCAGGAGGAAGAAATGGGCTCAAGGAGAAGAGCTGAGAGGAAGGGCACTCTGAGATTGAGTTCTTGGGAGTGGGGTGGGGTGAGGAGGGGAGGGGATGCAGTAGAGATAGGGCTGGCATAGATTTGGAGCTTCGAGAGCAGAAGACCCTCACTTTCCATTTCCTTCAAAAGGTATAAAGCCTTGCAAACTGAATGCTCACCTTCTGCAACCCTCTCTGCACCCCGTGGGGCATGGTGAGCAAGTAACAAGAAAAGACCACTTTGGTTGGCAAGTCTAAATGTCCCAAAGCACCAGAGTCACCAGGCAGACAGAAGTGGAGTGCAGGGCTGGGACAGGTGGTGGACTGCAGAAGCTTGGTGGTCAGGAGCAGCAGGAACAGAACAAGGACTGAGGACCAGGGGCTAGCTAGCACTGCAGACAGCTAAGAGATGCCCAGAGCAGATGCAGCTGATGAAAGGCAATAGGGACGAAGACATTTCAACCAATGCCAGTGTGAACAGAGGTTAACTGATGACCAGAAGCCTCCTTCTCAATGGTACTGGACACAATGAGACCATCCCTACTGCCATAATGTAGAGGCAACCCAGGAGAGAAAGAGTCCCTGAACTAATTCAGAAAAGCCTGATTTATCTGAGCTTACCATGCACTAAGATGAAATTTATGCCACTAAGTAGAATACAGACAGACTCAAGAGAGGAATTAAACATTATTCTTTTCCAGACCTGAGTTTGTGGACAGAGATTATACTTGCTATACAGACAACCGCAGTGCAGTGTGACAAAGGCAAATGGAGGACAAGTGAGAGGTTTCCAATCCAGTCTGAGGTCAGAGTGAGCAGAGACTATTATGGGAAGAAGGAAAACAACAGGGAGGTGAGGGACCCACAAGTCGATCTGTAATGGCCAGAGCTCTGGGAGTGATAAAAACAGGGCTGCAAAGTGAAATGCATTGGACTGAATGAAATCAAGCCCAAACCCCAAAAGCCCTTTCATGTGCAGGGCATGGGGATCCCTGAGGGTTTAGAGAAGAGGAATGCCATGACTACATTTTCATTTTGGAACAACCATTCTGGGTCAACGTAAAGAAAGGGCTGGGATTGGCTAACTTGGGACACCAGCCTCTGGAGTTTTTCATTCTCTTCCGTCCCATCTTTACTACTAACATCACATTGATTCCAATCAGTCCAAACCTGCACTGCATGTGAAGAGAAGATGGCATTTCTTTCCAGATTTTATAAAGTGACAATCAGTTCAGGAACAGATGTTTGGGAAGTGAAAATTACTGTTTAGTATCAAAACTGGTGGAGTTTTAACAGCCAGAGTCTTGATAAGAGAAATCAGAATAAACTGATGTGATATTTGGCACACAGAAATGTCTCCTACACATATATGTAGAGACATAATATTCCTTTTTTAATATTACTGAGAGTGAACCTTAAAATAACTGAAAAATGTGTATTCTTTTATTTATACAAAGTTTACTTAAAAATAAGGATTTGCACTGCTCTGTGCAGCCTGTCCCCAGGTGGTGGGCTGGTGGTGCCCTTGGCCCAGTTCTCGGGGGGAAGGCTATGGGAGTTGTTCCTGGGAGGTCTCCCTATTGTCTTAGGCCTCTCAATAATTCTGTAATCCATTGATACTTTATCAGAAATCCCATTCTGCTACTAGAGTAGATTTTGCCTTCTATACACTGACCAAAACAGGTTAAATAAACACTTTCTAAAAAAAGGGTCAAATATGCAGTGGTTAGGATCGTGGACTCTGAAGGCTACTGCATGGGTTTGAATTCAGCTCTATCACTCATCTGCTACCTGACCTTAGACAAATTACTCACCTTTATGTGTTCCAGCTTCCTCATTTGTAAGATGATGATGATGATGATGATGATGATGATGATGATGATGATGATGATACTTATCTCATAGGGTTGGTGTGATGAAGAGATAACACATGCAGAGTGCTTTTATCTGTGCCTGACACCTAGTAACTGCTAATAAATATTTGTTTTTATAATATTGAAAAACAGAATTAACACTAACAATTAAATTAATTAAGAATTTATTGAGAATTCAAAAATTCTCAAAGATGCACATACTTAAACAAGTATAAAATCCTTTTGGCCAAAGAAAAAAAGCAAAATAAAGCTGCTATCACAAAACAACTTTTAACTTGGCTGTTTCACTCTCAGAGAATGGCTTTCTTTAAGGAGAAAATACAAAACATACTTTGCAACTATGTTCCTCTTTTCCAGTACAAGTGGAATAGCTTGGCTTTTTACCTGTGATTCAAACTGGGTTTACTTGTGAGGTTTTTCGTGAAGGAGGGGCTTCTTTGGTTAAAACAAAAAACAAAAACTGAAAACTAGCAGTATAGCAGAAAGATTACTAGTCTTGGAATGAAAAAATACTGAGGACTGGAGGGTTACGTTCAGTAACAACAAAGGACTTTCTAGTTCTAAATATTTAAGACTAACAGAGTCTGTTGTATGCTACAGAATATTCTTTTTAACTCCGGTGCAAGAGATATACTGTGCATTTCCTTCGAACTTGGCTCTATGATTTCTTAAAGCAAAGTCCTGTGCTCTGAAGTTACGCAGTCACCTCTGTGATTGTGGTAACACCTCTTCATCAATAAACTAAGGGATATAATATCTTCTTCCTGGGGTGCTATGGGAATTAACGAGATGGAGAATGATTGCATCAAGTTTAGGGTCAGTATGTGCTCAGTACTTATTAGCATCCTGCCCTCTCCCCACAAAAATAGAAGCAGAAAGCTGCATTTATTTCTGCTTATGGGACTAAGAGAGTGGGAGAAGTGAGTATATGGTTTTCACATTTTTACACTCATTAGAGGATGGCAATATATCTCAGGACAGATGAAACCAATAACTAAGGAACACAGTCACAAGTCTGAATTCTCTCCCTCTATCCCATGTGCTCTCTGTTCTACGAGGGCAGAGAAGGCTCCACCACTAAGCCCATCCTCCAACATGAGAGTCCCATTTCTCCTGAGAAATTTTTGAGAATCTTTCAGATTCTGCAGGATCATCCATTTCCTCCTAGCTGGCAAATATAACTACAACCTGTCGCACTGTAAGGTGCTGAAACTCTTCCATTCCTTATGAAGGTGCCAGAATTCTTGACTGAAGCTGTTCAACCAAATAAAAGTGAGTCTGTAAGATGGGCAGAGCTAACATTTATTCAATCAACAAATGCTGAGTGCATGCCACGGTCAGACACTGCTAGTCATCAGGACACATAGAATATGTGAATAGTCAACATAAAACTGCATGACGTCAGCCTGCTCATGTTATTCCCAGACATTGAATAAGTGACAATTTGCACAATGTTTCACTAAACACCTATTAAGAAGAAGATAACCACAATTGATGATATATAGAAAAAAAGCCAAACTCAGAATGTAAGAATTGTTGCCAGGAAAGTACATGGAACACCATCTAGTGCTGCAGGAGCTGGCTGGACAGATGTGTTAGTGATGCTTAGAAGGCTGGGGACAACTCTCCACAGTGCACTTTATGGACTGACAACTTTACTAGGATGTAAAAATTCATTTCCAACTCCCAGACTTGTTTCTATTCCTAAATAAAGAATGAGCCAAACAAATAAATGATGAAATATTGACCATGAACCCAAATATTTCAAGGCATGAATGGGCAGAAACCTAACATCTTTATCCACTGCAAAGAGAAACCTCTAGCAGACAGGTGAAGATGAAGAAACTTGTTTTGAACATAACACAAACATGTACAAATCTCTTAACAGCACTGGTGTCAGCAAATGCTTCTGTTGTTGCAAAAACCTTCTTCAAAAGAGTGGTGAGGAAGAGACTGACAAACAGAACAGAGCTATTTTTTCATCTCCAAAATGGCACTTCCTGGTCCACGGTGCTTAGCGCTGCAGATGTTGCAGAACTGTGCAGGAGAGTTCTAAAAATATAATTAAAACACAGATTTTAAAAAATGTTCTTCTCTTTCTACTCTCAAAAATATGAGAGCATTGGTTGGGGGCAAGGAGGGATGTCACTCCTTCTCCTGGAGATCACTGCTGGTTCACCTAGGATTCCACCTACAAGAGCTGTCATTCTGTGGCTCAAAGGACACCCTATAGAGAAACAAGTCTAATGTGACCTGGAGGAACATGACACTAAAAAAATGGCAGTGTCATGATAGAGAAATCAGGTTAAGAAAGTTATACAAAACAAAAAAATGTTTCTTACATCTCTACAGCTTAACAATCATCAATTTTACCTGAACCGATTCACTTAAATATGCTTTCATAACATTTTATATACTATATTAAAGCATTTTCACAATTGGGAATTAGGTGAATTAATTTTTCTTATGCGACATAAAACTGTATTACAGTTTTGAGAACCCACAGAGCCACAGGATGACAGGCTACAATTCTGAGCACTACCCTCTGACTGCATCGATTTATTTTTAGCTGATGGTGGCCAAGTGGCCAACTCACCATGCTGGGCACGGGCAAGCACTCCTTGTGGAACATATGCCGGCAATGGAAGACCACCACGCTGAACGGCTTAGCTGCATCTGGGGATTAGGCAGCAGAAACGGGAGAAGGACTCAATGCAACAGTCAGATCAGGAACTTTAAAACCAGTCTTTTTTGTTTTTCCCTATCTTCCTACCACCCTCCCTGGCAACCATTAGCTTGTTCACTTTCTCTATAGGTCTGTTTTGTTTATTCATTTGTTTCATTTTTAGATTCCACATATAAGTGAAATTGTATGGTATTTGTCTTTGTCCGACTTATTTCACTTAGCATAATGCCCTCTAAGGTATTAACTGTTAATTGTTTTTTGATTGTTTTTATAGTTCCGTTCCTTCTTTTGTTTTCTTCCCTTGTTGTTTGCTGTTTTTCCTTAGTATTTTGTTTGGATTCCTTTATCTTTATTCTCTGTGAATCTTTTGTAGGTTTTTGGTTTGTGGTTACCACCAGATTTCTGTATATCACTGTACACCTATAGCAGCTTATTTTAAACTGATAGGCATTTAAATTCAAATATATTCTAAAAGAATTTCATTGTTACTTCCCGCTCCGTGCTTTATGTTTTTGTAGTCAGATTTTAGATGTTTTTGTGTTGTGTATCTCCTTATTGCAGTATGAATTGAGTTTTGGTACTTTTGTCTTTTGACCTTTGTAGTAGCTTTTTAAATGTCTGATTCACTGTGTTTATTAAATATTTGCTTTACTTGTAATATTTTTTCCTTTCTTATATTTTCCTATTTCTGATTATGTTCTTTCCATTTGCTTAAAGATCCTTTAATATTTCTTGTAAAGTTGGATTAATAGTGGTGAACTCCTTTAGTTTTTGCTTGTCCGGGAAACTGCTTGTCCTTCGATTTTGAATAACCTTGTTTGGCAAGTTATTCTAAGTTGTAGGTTTCTTTATTTCAGCACTTTAAAAATGTCCTGCCACTTCCTTCTGGCCTGTAAAGTTGCTGCTGAGAAATCAGCAGATAGCCTTATGGGGTTTCCTTTGTATGTAACTAGTTGTTTTCCTCTTGCTTCCTTCAAGATTGTCTCCTTATATTTAACTTTTGCCACTTTAATTACAATATGTCTTAGGGGTCTATTTGGGTTCATCTAGTTTGGAACTCTCGGTGCTTCCTGGACCTGGATGTCTGTTTCCTTTCTCAGGTTAGAAAAGTTTTCAGCCATTATTCTTTAAATTAAGTTTCTATTCCTTTCTGTCTTTCTTTTCCTTCTGGGGTCCCTGTAATGCAAATACGTGTGTGGTTGATGTTATCACAGAGATCCCTTAAACTATCCCTGGTCTTTTAAAATTCTTTTTTTCTTTTGCTCTTCTGATTGGTTGATTTCCAGTAGTCTGTATTCCAGGTTGCTGATACATATTTCTGTATTAGCTAATCTCTTATTGATTCCTTCTAACACATTTTTCATTTCAGTTATTATATTCTTCAGCTCTGCTTAGTTCTTTACTATATTTTCTAAGTCTCTGTTGAAGTTCTCTCTAAGTTCCTCTATTCCACACTCAAGTTTGGAGAGAATCCTTATGACCCTTTTTTTTTTTTTAATTTTTTAATCAGGAAATTACTTGTCTCCATATCTTTAGTTTATTTCTGGGGATTTTTCTTATTCCTTTATTTGAGAGACATTGTTCTGTCTTTTTGTTTTGTTTTGACTTTCTGTGTTTATATGAATTACACAAAATATCTATCTCTTCCAGTCTTGAAAAAGTGTAGAGAGATTTCTCTCTATATATGTGTATATCTTTTTGTTCATGGAAGGGGGCAAGTTCAGCATCTTCCTATGTCACTGCCATCTTGGACCTCTGTCTTAATCCAGCCTTAGTGAAAGTCCAGCTATAGTTAAATGAACTGCCTTAGGAGAATTACTTATTTACAAATGCACTCCTGAGTTGGGGAGGTGATCAAATGCGAAGGAGATATTACAATCATATTGCTATGTGAATCACTGATTACTTGCTTGGTCTCAAAGTCAATTACTATAACTACAAACTAGGGACAATTTCATAACAAATGCAACATTTATTTTAAAAATTATGTGTATGTATATGTGCATTCCCTCCTCTCAACACTCATCCCATTACATACAGAATTGTTACACACCACATACTTACTAAGGTTAATCTTGTAGCTTTATAAAAATACTTTCTGCTTGTTTACCTACTGCCTTTGCCAAGACCATCCACTGACTTCAGAGCAGAACTGGGTTAACTCCTAGGCTGTGACCTTGCCTTGTACTGCACTTCTGCAAGAATTTAATCTAATTATACAGTGCAGGCGTATAAAATCATATTCTGTTAAAACGCTGCCTAAAACACTATGAAAGCTCACTGATTCCCCTGCGCCCACTGTGGTTTTTAATATAAGCATGTAAAATACAAACCTAAACTCGAAATGGATTAAAAACTTTAATGTACGACCTGAAACCATAAAACTCATAGAACAAAACATAGGCAGAAAACTCTTTGACATTGCTCTTAGAAACATTTTTTGGATATGTTTCTTCAGGCAAAGGAAATAAAAGAAAAAATAAAAGAGATTATATCAAACAAAAAAAGTTTTACATATCGACAAAATGAAAACAATCTACTAAACCGGAGAAGATATTTGCCAATGATACATCTAATAAGGGGTTAGTATCCAAAATATATATAGACTCATACAACTTAATGTAAACAATCTGATTAAAAAATGCGCAGAGGACCTGAAGAGACATTTCTCCAAAGACATACAGATGGGCAATAGACATATGAAAAGATACTCGGCATTACTAATCATCAGATAATGCAAATCCCACAATGAGATATCATCTCACAATGTCAGAATGGCTATCATCAATAAATCAATAAACGACAAGTGTTGGCAAGGATGCTGAGAAGACAGAACCCTCAAATGTTGATGGGATTGTAAACTGGTGCAACCACTATGGAAAACAGTGTAGAGGTTCCTCGAAGAATTAAAAATAGAACTACCATATGACTGTACAATCCTACTTCTGGGTATTTATCTGAAGAAATCCAAAACACTAACTCAAAAATATATATGCACCCCTGTTCATTGCAGCATTATTTATAATAGCCAAGACATGTAAGAAACCTAAGTGCCTAACAACAGACAACTAGATAAAGATATGGTACATACATACAGTGGTATATTTCTCAGCCATAAAAAAGAATGAAATCATACTATTGAAGACAACATGGATGAACCTAGAGAATATAATGCTAAATGAAATAAGTCATAGAAAAACAAATACCATATTTCACTTATATGTGGAATTTAAAAAACAAAAAAATGAACAAACAAAACAAACTCATAGATACAGAGAACAAATTGATGGCTGACAGATGAAAAGGGGGTTTGGGTACTGGGTAAAAAAGGTGAGGGGATTAAAAAGTACAGATTGGTAGTTACAAAATAGTCACAGAGATGTAAAGTACAGCATAGGGAATATAGTCAATAATATTGTCAAAACTATGTATGGTGCCAGGTGAGTACTAGAGTAATCGGGGGGATCACTTCGTACGTTATATAAATATCTAATTGCTATGTTATACACTTGAAACTAATATAATTTTGTATGTCAGTTGTAATTGAAAAACAGAAATAAGAAAAAAAAAATCTAATCCTATTTATTTCCTCTAGACAAGACCCTCAGTGGAACAACTTCTCATACTCCTGCTATATTAAATAATCCCTTACCTGCTATATTAAATAATCCCTTAAATCTAAGTAAGTGTTACATTAACTAAATTATTTAGTACTTCTCTATGCTGAATTTATATTTAAAAAAGGGTTTTTTTAGCATCCCGACAACTATGTTTTAATTTCTACTTTTAAATTATGGACTTTCCTCTTTTCAAGTCATATGATCTTATGTAAGGTGCTTTGATTATATATGAAGATATATACCAAGACCTATAAAAAAACAAATGCTTATGTCTCGTAAAGAGTCATGATTCCAATTAGATGGGGATTATGTTTCCATTGAAATGTGAGGTAACTTGGGTGCAAAATGATATAGAAAAGAAAAAGTTAAAGAAAACGGAAAGTTATCTTATAAAAATCTTTCCCACATGCACACATGGTTCTTCTACCTTGGAATTTAAACATGTTGACAGTAAGTTGCATTTGATTTTGTTTTATTCTAAAGCAGTGCTTCTCAAAGAATGGCCCCAGAACCAACAGCATCAGTATCACCTGGGAACTTATTAGAAATGCAAATTCTCAGGTCCTATCCTGGAATTACTGCATCAGAACCTCTGAGGTTAGGACCAGCAATTTGGGTTTTAAGAAGCCTGCCAAGTGATGCCAACTTACTCCAGTTTGAGAATCTGAGCTCTAAAGAATGGCAGCATCAGCATGCAACAGAGTACAGATATGGGCTAAAATTCTTTAAACCGAATTATTTGGGAAGTTATAGAATTTTATAAATAGTGATTAGTTACCTTCAAATTTTAATTCCACTCATCATTAACACATATTTGGGGATTTTTTTCCCCCCTCAACCACCTTACCTGATGGAAGAATAGGGGAAAGACACGATTCACAGATGTTCTCCTCTGCAAGGAAACACATACACTTGAGGTTACTCAATGTTTCTATTTGCTGTCTCTTATGAAAACAAGGCATTTAGTTCCAATATAGTTATTTCAATTTTACCCACCATCAACCAGAACGCCTTTCATTTGAGTTCGATGCATTTTCTTCAGTAAAGACAAAGAGTCAGCTACCAGAATCTTCTTGCAGCCTTCACGAAGCAGAATCTAATGCACACATTGTAAAAGAAAAACTATCTGAAAAAGACTCAAGTATGGGGGGCGGGGAGAACCTTCTGTTGGGGATTCAGAAAATTGGTATGTTTGAAATACTCCCAAGAAGCACTCACTGGTCCCCTGCCCTCAGTACCCTCTTCTTTCTCAGCCACTACCCATCTTTCAGGCTTCCATTCAGTCATGACTTGTATTTTTTCTTAATGTACATAGTGTGCAGTGCTTGTAAAATCAAATGCCAATTCCAAAGCCTGGCACAGCAGGTCCTCTGTAAACTATCCCTATTGTTGTCTTATAGGTTTTCCTAATACAGACTCTCTCTGGCCGAGTTTGGCCCCTACGTGACCTGCTCATTCCAACCCCCAGATCTTTTCCCAGATAGAATACTGCTATTCCAAAATTGTGTATTTCATAAATCCATCTATTCGTTGTACAGACATGTACTGGGTCTCTATCATGTGCAAGACACCGTGCACAGAGCAATAAACTAAACAGATATGAGCTCTGTCCTAAACCCCTCCAGGGTACAACCTGTCTTCTTATCCTTCCAAATCGACCCAAACCATTTACAAATGCATGTGGTATATAAAGTGTAATTGACTACATAAACCCTCTAATTTGGTGACTGATTCTTAAAGGGCTGGCAACTGAAAAATGACCGTGGATATTAAATATTCTGTCACAAGATTCACTTCCTTATTCTTTACCCAAGTACTGTACTGTTTTGTTTCTTTATGCATTTTTCCTGTTATTTGTAGACTTATTTCCTCTCTCTCTGCTTGGAGAATTATGAGAGCTAACAAGGCTTCAGCAGGCTCAGAAGTCAGGATGCAGACAGCAGAGGTCAAATGCCCATTTCTGCTTGATACCAACTTTGGTTTCAGAGCTGGAGGCATAATGAAGACAAAACTGCCCACACCCACTTTTGGGCAAGTGAGATGCAACATACCTTACCTTTTAAACCCTGTCCACAGTGTGAGTTTCCACCCTCTTCTGGGTGTTCTTAGGTGTTTTATTGGAAATTGGGAGAGGCTGTGTGAGGTGTGCTTAAGCCAGATGCTTTTTTTTT